GACGGGCCCTAGACGCCCTAGCGATAATTTTTGAACACTCAGAAAGTGGGTGTAGGCGTAGAGCCATAAAAATCCAACGCGATCAGAATCGGGTTGTCGCACCACATTTCTGAGTGTTCCCGCAAAAAATATCCCGCAATCGATCCTATTTGTCACATCATATAATAATATGATGCAGAAACAGGCCAAAAACAGTGGCGTAGCCAGGATTTGTTTAACAGGGGGGGCCAAAACAACAGCGAACATGCGCAAAAAGTGCATGATTTAACTAATTTATAGCTGCGTCCTCCGCCTCCGCTCTCCACACGCCTACGGCTCCATCTACCTCTCAGCTCTGCAATCTTTGTTTTGGGCGCCATGCGAAAATGCGACATTTTTGTTCATTGTGCATTCACATTACGTTTATGTGGGAACAATGTATCAGGGAGCATTCACTACACTCGTGGAAACAATGTATCAAGTATCACTCACTTTGCATCCAGATGACACATGTACCAGGGAGCATTCATTTTGACATTCATGTGGAAACAAATGTAGCAGGGAGCGTATGCTTGATCGCGATGCGTTAATCTTGTTTCAGGTGTTCTACAATGAGGCGAACGTGAGACAAGTGGATGTTCCCTCGCACAGCGGTTCCTTCGGCATCCTGCCGCAACACGTGCCTCTTCTCGCCGTGCTCAAACCCGGCATTGTCACGGTGATCGAGGACGCTGACAAATCTAAGAAATTCTTCGGTGAGGATTAATCGGACGCTTTTTTGTTGTCCGATATCGTGTATCAATCGCGAATGCGTTCAGTGTGTGCGATCACTCATGCAGGGATGAGAATCTTCCGCAGATCCGTGGAAATCCGCGGATTTCACAAGTCCCAGGGTCCGATTTTGTGATAACGTCTAAATCCGTTGAGAGAAAACTTTAGGGGGGGCGGGGGTTAGAAATGTACAAATTTTCATTTTACAGTCCAACAGTAACTCATTTAAAGTGTGTACCGCGAGAAGTTTCTATGTGTTTTCCCCACTTTCATGATACCTAGCGTATATTGCTTGAGTACAGCAATTGTACTAGAGTAAGATTAAAATGTCTAGAATCTCTTTCGTATTCACGCAATCCAATGAAATCATCGCAGCGATTACAAATTTGTGTTCTGTTTCTGTTACGGCGTTGGCCATCTCTCAGAATTTTCTCGGGGTGTAGCGCGAGACATCTATCAGGTGGCAGACAATGCAAACCACGCACCGTACATCAGGTCAGAGTGTGAACACAGGGCCGCTCATACTAGCGTAAACAGCAAGTGTAGTACTAATGCCACGTTAAAGTCTGTTTATTAAGAAGCTTGTGGATTGCCAGTCAGATAGTAACAAGGATAATGACAATGACAGAAGTGGGCTCTGAATTATTGACGATAGAAAAAAAAATACTCAAATAATATATTAAGCAGAATTGCAACCGCTTTTGTTTACATTATTGTTCGGCTGTTTGAGACGCCATTTTGTAATTTTTTTTTGAGCGTCACAACTCGGAAAAATGTATTGCTGGTATGATGTGGTCAACTCAATTTTCTATGCTATTAACTTGCGTGTTTTGATGTTGGTATAATCAGTGATAATTTCCACTGTCAGGTGAGACTATATCATCGTGCTTATATTCGTTCTTTTTCTGAGGCGGCGCAAACGCGTATTACACTTTAACTAAAAGGGCGCAGTTGGTCGCTAACTACATGCGATCCCCGTGTTCTCGATCACAGACTTGCCTTGGCTGCAGGACAAGCCGCTAAAGTTGTTCAATATGATAAAATATCTACTGTAGTGACCAGAAACAAATTTGAAACTGCCTGGACAATGAACATCTTATATTATATAAAGGTTAGCCTTTGGGACAGTGTGGAAGTGTACATTAAAATAATTTTGTTTGCAGAATGTAATTAAATTTTTGTATTGATTATTAATTCTAGTGTTATGATAATGACAGTGCAAGATATACTCCCTGCAGTGTACTGTAATATGCTCTGTAACAATTCTGTGCTGTATGTGTCTCCTAATGCAATTTTATGCCTTGTAAGTTGTGAAAATTCAAAAACTTCCTGAACCCCCTGATCAGGTTTTGCCTTGGACCTGACCGCCCCCCCCCCCTGTCAACACAAATTGTCATTCCCATCCCTGCTCATGGTCCTATGGCATTAAGAATTATTATTCCTTGTTTTGTTTTCAATAGATTTCACACGAAGTTTTGTGATCCATTACATAATCATTTTGCATTGAGGTTGAACGTTATTTTTACATTTTTATTCTCTTTCCGTTGTGTGATCACGTGAAGTTGCGCGTGTGTCGTCACTTACAATCCGTTTGCGTTGAGAACGAATGTTTTTTGTCACGTTTACGCAGTGAGCAGTGGCTCGGTGACGATCAACGCTGACTCTTCTGTGCAAGTACTCGCAGAGGAAGCTGTGCCACTCGATCAGCTCGATGCTGCAGTAAGTATGATGTACGATTGGTACAACCATGTACGGCATAGCAGGGTTTACCGCAGGGGGATACGACTTGTGGCCATCGTGGGCGAGTGGTTGGACACGTGGCCTGGTGGGTAGTTTGTTGCTTGACATTTTAAAATATTAAATGTTTATTTCAAGGTTTTTATTATGGTCACCCCAGTCTGGCTATCTCTGCCTTGCTGAGGCGCGGCCATAGACCGGCACTCGTGCATTCTTGTAAATTCTTGTTGTACGTAATTATAGAAGAGGAACTATACTAAAATGTGAGCATATAACAGACAGTCTCACTCTAACAGGTTCTCCAATCTAATCGTGTCCTTCTAGGGACAACATACAATGTCTCTACAACGTAAAATATCTATACTATGGTATAAACTCGGCCGTTGTTTGCTGTTTGCAGGCGATCAGAGAGGGATTGAGTAAGGCACAACAGTCGATCGGCGCTGCAACCAACGACCAAGAACGGGCGAAGGTGCAGATCGAGGTAGAAGTTTATGAGGCCCTCGCGGAGGCAAGCGCGTAGGAAACATCCGGGGGAGAGGAGAACGTCGTTCGTATGGACACGCGGCGTTGTACATTTCACATAGGCGGTAAATTAAACCCCTTAAAAATTATTAGGTGACGCATGCGTCACTACATGGCATTGCCACCAGTTTAGAGATATCTGCAACCTAGATGCTCTACACCGTGTTTGTGCTTTAAAGTTGGAATTTGTGGCTATTTATTGAGGCGTCACTCACATTGGCTTCTTTGTAGCCTTCCAGTCTGTTGAATAGTGTTTTGTCTTCATCTCCAGCTATAATTTCTTGTTACAATAAACGTGATAAGGTTAGTTATATAAAAAGGTTTGTTCTACCTTTTTGTTGGCACGTTTGTGAGGTGTTAAAAAATGTTAATGTTTTTTGTAGTAACTAACCTAAGATTGTTAGGTGGAGGTTAGGACACATTTTTTACACATTCAAGTTGTAATTTGTCCTTGGTTAGCAATACAAGCAAGATCGTGCATATAGTGCCTAGAGTCCAACACCAATATCATTTCTTGCAATAATATTGTGAAACCTATGTACATATATGTTGAAAGTGCCATTTTCAAGAAAAATTTAAGAATTTGTATCAAACAAAAACAAATTTTTTTTTATTCATCAATTTCATCCAGGTCCCAGCCCACCAGGGCTCAACCCTGGAGCATAGCTTGGGACTTCTGCTAACATTCAGTTTTGAGAAATACTGAGAAAGAGACGTGTTAAAATGTTATTTCTGTACACCAAAAACAATAAAAAAACAAGACAATCATTACAGTTGCACCACCATCGTACCAACTGCGTCGGCAATGCCGCTACATCTACACATGCAGAGCGATAACTTCACTGCCAGGAAATGATGTTTCCTTCGACTATCTATAAGCCAACATGCTCCACTTCTTCTGCTCTAGTGAACCTGTCCATGAATTCTGGTAGAAAATAACAAAAAGGAGATAATTAGAGTCAAATCTGATTATCTACTCTCGAAAATGTCAATATCAACTAATAAACGCCATCTCGCGTACATCCCGACTTGAAGCTGCCGACACCAGCAATTCGCGTTCTATTTCTGCCCAGAAATGAAATATTAAACGTTAGTGGTTCGCATCACGCATTAGACGCACCATCACAACCGATTCCATTTGCCACTGTCATTCTATTAGCACGGCAGTAGTGCAATCGGGTATAGGCATATCAAAATAATTATATATACACTATACACACCGTATCTTGTCACCCTCATTCGTTCACACCGCAAACACGGCCTTCGCGAGTTACCTAGATGTGCAAGGTGGCATTTGATTACTACCACGCACGCATGAACACGGTTTTACGAAACTGCAGAATTAATACAAGTCCGGCATAAACGCGCGTGTCATGTGCGAATATCCGTACGTGCCAAGTGTTGCACGAGGTAGAACGGTGCAAATAATCGCACACGACGAGTGTGTGTATAGCGTGGGGCTTGGTGCAATCCTACAAGTTATGCTCTGAGGAGTTAAGAGATCTGTTCTATCTACGATGTAATCACAGTCTTGATAGAACGTTAATTTAAATGGTCAGTGAAACCAGGCAAACGTCTGTTAGACGTCACTGCAACAATTTACAACTTTATAATAGATAAACACGTCTTTTTACATATCGCAAAAGTTTAACACACGATCTCCCACCTTCACATGCTCAGTAAAATGACAAGAGGCAAGCGGTTAGCTTGGTAACAACATATTGTAACAGTTACACAGCCACTGAGCTACATTACTATAATGCATATCGTTCTATCAATGTGTGAAAACAAACATATTTATATATTTACATTAAAACATGAATGGTATGTGGTAATACCCGACGTTTTTACATTCATACTTTACAACTCCGTCAAAGGACGTTTACCTTAACAACTAGCAAAGCTTTCACAGAAGAAGCACCAACACTCTTCTACCATGAACACACGTATACTACACGTAAACATATGTTCATGCTTCTAACGAAGCATAACCACTAAAACACGGCCAAGAGCAATCAGTAACTGCATGCTGCAGCGGGCGGTGGTGTCTCGCATTAATAGTACATAAGCGTGATTTCTTGTAGGGAAGAAACGAATAAATGGACCTACTCACGTAGACGTTCTTCGAAGAAGGTCTGAAAACACTCCGAGACAGTGAGAGAAACCTAGCATGGGATGCTTAACATGCAGTACTCCTAACGAATGAACAATCCTGCCGAACGTATTAATGTTTGATTATAGCCCACAGCATCACTCTCATCTTCCATCTCCTGCAGCAGCTTCCGGCTATCTCCACAATCTCCTCTTGACTACGAGTCAATCAATTGCACACGTATAACAGCAGGGTTACGTGACAGGAGACATTCCCGATACCAAAGTAGTAGCTGACTAAGGCTTATTGCTTACACAAATAAGACTAAAAAAACAAAACATGGTAGAGATGTGCAGCTGAGACTTGCCCATTGTCGCCAATGGTTGATTGGCGATGGCTGAAGAACCGATTTGAGCACAAAACCTTTTGATGCCGCCGTTCAACACTTCTATTCTTTATGCATATCTCTTCATAACGATACTCACGTGGCGCATACAGAACTCTGACAAGTTTATGTACGGGCATCGTACGAGAACCCATCTATCGAAGGCAACAAAAACCATGTGAATACATTATGTTCACAACAAGCCATCTCTGAAAACATACTAGTGGCATGTCATAGAAGACAAAGCAGTATTCGTGCGTGTGCGTGTGTGTGCGAGTGCACGCACGCGCGTGCGTGGGTGCATGTCCCTGCATTCATACGCGCACGTTTGCATGTGTGTGTGTGCATCTGCTTGCATGTACATGCATGCGAGTGTATGTTGCCGTGTGCCTGCTTGCATGTGCACGCATGCATATGTGTACGGGTAATAAGCATGGAGTAAGCATGGAACATCTTTTTAACCAGTCGACTTCCATCAGCATATGCTACAGGGGAGAATTTTAGCACGCACCACACGTCCACCATAGCTACAGTTCACAGCCATTCCTTTCCGTCAAGAGCACGCAATCCTATCACTCCTATTGCTACCATAGGCCAGCTGTGCAATAGCCTCCTACAGGGGATCAACCACATAGGCTCCCCCTGGTGAAGGTGACTGCGCAGACTCCCCTGTCACTGTCAGACAGCCTAGCAAACACTCCCGCGTCGGGGGGTGAAACACGCAGGCGCCACCTGGCAGAGTTCGGCCGTGTCGGCGCTCCCTGGTGAGAGAGGAACGCCCTACGACTGTGCGCATCCCGTGATTTTCTTGACGCTGATGCAGCTGATGATGTTGCGTCGCCGCCGTCGACGTTTCTTCTTCTCCATCGGCTTCTGCATGTCCTGGCAGACGACCGCCTCTCGCTTGCCCCGTTCTGCAACGAACAACGCAGGAGCATTCCATTTACATCACAGCACCAACGACAAGTGCCGTGGTTGCTCTCCTTCCTTGCCATAGTGTGCCGTGGTAGCGCACCCAGGTACAGAATTTTATTGCTGCAGTGTAATGGCACATACCCAGGGCTCGAATTTGATTGAGGCACAAGGCAAGTGCCGTGGCTGCTCTCCTTCCTTGATGTAGTGCGTTGGTGCATAACAAGGGCTCGTATGTTATTGCAGCACCGACGGTACGTGCCCTGATGCCCCCCTTCACTTGTTACAGAGCCTTGGAATTCTGTCCAATATACACGACAATAAACTGCCATGGCTGTCTCAGTTTATCAGGGGTAGAAATTAACTTTTGAATACAGGAGTCCAATGGACTCCCTACCCTCAAAAAGAGGGAGTCCGCAGCAAAATGAGGGAGTCCGCAGTCTGAGGTTCAAAATTAAAGATATTAACAATAACGCATGTGCTTATTTTTAAGATTCATGCGGTTGCACGTCTGCCAAATTTTCTTTGGACATTAGCTGAAAAATACAGTAATTCCACAAGGCCGTGCTCCAGAACGAACTAGTTAGTATGGCAGAATTTTCAGGTTGTCACACGGACTCCTGCATATGTCAAATCAGGGAGTCCGACAGTAAATCCGGGAGTATTTGACTCCGGACTCCCGTTAATTTCACACCCTGGTTTATGCATTCGTTTGATGAGAATGTTTGTCTTGGTGCCCCTCCAACATGGTGCAATGCTTATAAACCACTGACTATCTGGTTAAACTCAAGGCAAATTAAGATTTGATCTTGAGCAGACAACCACCTCTCTCTTACACCAAAGTGAACTGAAAAATGCCGTGGTACATGTTACGCCAAACTTCACGCCACGGTCAGCACAAGAATAACATTAACGTTAACTGCAAATTTACACACGTTAATGCAGTCCTCGCCAAAAGACAAAATCCTTTACTGGACATTCGGTCCAGTAAAAAATAGATTTTTACCAGACCGAATGATATTTTACTGGACCAAAAAAATATTGAAACATTAAAACACATTCAATCTCTGTTGCTTTTCCTTTGTGGACATATCTAACATGTATGCTTTCCTGCTCATCACCAGCTATGTCTGTTGACCCATCCATGATAAAGCTGAAAAAGCTAGCATCGTTTATTTTTTCATCAATTTCGTAACGCATACAATCAGCAATGCATTCGATAAAATTAAGGCCAGCTTTGTCATTAATATAGGTTTCACCTATTTCTAGGTCTTTGGCCTTGTCCAGTTGTGTGATCCAGGTATAATCAGTCAACAGTCTGCTCCGTTTAGCAGTGGCATAAGCATTTCTGAATAAATAACCTAGTTTCTGTCTGTCAGCTGCCTTGATTGCTTGCAGAGCTCGGCCAGCCCTTGACATAGCAATATGTTGGCTGCTTGTAGCTGCCTTCCTTAATTCCATAGCTTTCACATGCTATTGCTCTGCTCATGGTCAGTAATACTTGACTTCTTAAAGTTATTGCATCCGTTAATGAAATAATTCTGTCCTCTAAGCTTAAAGCCGCACAATGCGCATCCAAACGCTAATTTCTCCTGTACTAGACTAGCAAATACTTCGTGTCATGCATAATCACACTACCTTATGACAAAATAAACTGTAGTTGCTCCCATTTCACTGCGCGTTTGCTTAAAACCCACAAGAAAGAGGTGAGAAAACTGGCATTCTGGCGCAAATGCCGACTGTTTGCCAAACAATTTAGCCTCGAAGTGGTGAGGTGACGTCACATGTTTTTATCTTTGCTACACCCGTACCGCAGCACCGCTGCACGGTTGCTTGGTGAAACTGTCAACAACATCGGAGAATTATAACAACATTGGAGGTATTTTCAAATACCTTTTATAAGACAACGCGCAGTGAAATGGGAGGAACTAGTTTATTTTGTCATAAGGTAGTGTGATTATGCATGACACGAAGTATTTGCTAGTCTAGTACTGGAGAAATTAGCGTTTGGATGCGCATTGTGCAGCTTTAAAGCTTGAACCTACAAACTTCCCATGATTGATAGTTCACACACACGTGGCATGTCATCATTTTCTTATCTTTTATCATATAACAGCCAATCTCTTCCTATCGCTTTCCCACACCATAGATTAATTTGGTACACGCGTATATAAGATAGCCGAGTCGGTTTAGAGCTAGTGTTAGGGTTAGGTTAGGGATATGGCAACTGTTTGTGCTTGTGTGTAGTACTGCCGTACCCATAGCCTCTGGGTAATTAGTTGATATAATGTTACCGAACACACGGTCTGGTAAAGCCATATTTCTTGTCGGACCGGTGAAAAAATCACCGCTTTTGTCCGACGGTCCGACGCTTTTGGCGACGACTGTTAATGTTATAAGGACATCGAATGATCAATTAATAAATACTCTTTTCACTTGAATAATCAAGCAAGCTACCAAGCAGGCAAGCAAGCCAGCAAGCAAGCAAGCAAGCTAGCAAGAAAGCCAGTAAGCAAGCAAGCAAGCAAGCAAGCAAGCAAACAAGCAAACAAGCAAACAAGCCAGCAAGCAAGCAAGTTAGCAAGTTAGCAAGCAAGCAAGCAAGCGAGCAAGCCAGCAAGCAGACAAGACAGACAAGCAGGTAACTAAAAAAGCTGAGCAAGAAAGCAACACGCATACGTTCACGATCACTCTCACCGGCGTAGCTCTCCTCCTCATCTTCCATGTAGTAGTTGTGAAGGTCCTCTAGATATGGCACTACGGTCATGCTTCGATACTCATCCGGCCGCGGCAGAAAGTAAACGTAATCCAACGTTTTTGGATGCTTCTTTCGAAACCAACTGCAAAAAAGCAAACGTTCGTGAAATGTGCATGCACACACATGTACTTTATTTTTTACACATGACAAATTTTTTATGAAATGTTATCACTGCAATTGTTGGTAATTAGTGTTTTACTGGAGAAAAACTAATGTGAGAATAGAATTCATTAATGAAGGTGATTTGGTGAGAAAGGCTACTTACTCATGATTTTTAATTTCTTTTATTGTAAATCTATCGTATGGATCCTTTTGTAGTAATCCTACAAAGAAAACAGGACAATCATTAATCACTTTTGGTATTTTAAAATAATACATATGCTAATGCACTTTTCTACTCATTGATTGTAAACTTGTGTAAAATCAAATAAATTGAAACCAAACATACACTCATCAAATTTATGACTAGCACTACATGCATAAATTTTCAACATACTAGAGACTTAAGAACATTTTATTTTGGGACAAATCCAAAATGTTTATTGTTGCAATAGTTTTGATAGCCGATATGCTGCCTTTGTCACACAGCAGGTGTTAACTTCTAATGAGCGCACAGGTGATAATCCATTACACATGCACTGCAGACGCCGTCAGGTACGTAACATTTAACGTTGGAATCGCACTATACAGTATATCATACAAGATTTCTCTTTAGGAATTTCAGAAGGCATGTTGAGCAATCAGGCAATTCATCCCCGATTGCTAATTGGAATCAATTACGTTTGTCGTAATTGACCCAAAGCGCCCCAATACACAGGTACAAAATATCAGTTTGAAGAGGTACACATCAAACTGTGAAACCAAAGCATCACCGTGTTGGGATTGTCGAAACTAAACACAGCTAGAAATTAAGGCATGTCGCAAATTAGCTTCAGCTCTGAATGCACGTTGGACACGACACGCGTTAAAGGCCCGAGGAGAACCCTGCCACACTACAACGACAGCATCTATTACCGCTCAGTAGCTCCGTAAGCAGGTGATCACACTCCTCCGGGATCGTGTAGTCTCCCTTGCCGATGTGCTCAAACAGCTTGTAGATGTTATCGCCTTCATATGGATACTTTCCGGTAGTGATGTTGTACCTGCAGAGGGAAGGAAGGCGCTAGGTTGTTGAGGCGTCACGCTGATATGTTAGTGCCCGAGGATGAACAATGCAAGTTTGCGATTGAATGCATGATAGCAAAATAGTGATTCAATGATAAAACGATCGCACCACTGCAGCTGCCTGCTTTATTATTCACTAGTATTTTTTATTATATTATATTTTTATCCTATAAAATTTTTATTATTATCATCACTATTAATATTGTTATGGGCAGGTAATTCCAGAGATTGATTAGATTGCTGTGAGCGTCATCTGGCAATGAATGACATGATCTTATCGTTAGTGTACGTACAAGGTGACACCAGCTGACCAGATATCCACTTTGAACCCAGGAAAGGATTCTTGACCATTTGCTATCTCGGGTGGTTGGAACGCAGGCGAGCCTTGGCTCGTACAGCAGGTGTCATCCTCGGCAAACATGTCAAGTTCCTGCATTAGAACGAACGTCTACTTAGTGTTTCAATTGACTGTGTGTGTGTGTGCGTGCGTGCGTGCGTGCGTGTGCGCGCGCGCCAGTGTGCTTGTATGTGCATGTGTGGGTAACTGCATGCATAAACATAGTATTTGTTAGGAAAACATCAAACCATATCTAATTATTTGTGTCAAATTGCAAACTGAGATTTAAAAAGCAATGAATTTGGTGTAATCTTCTATTCTACACATTCTTATCTCTACAAGCTTTGAAAGAATTTAAAGGGATACATTACTCTAGGTTCTTCAGATATTTCCAGTTAAAATAGGTTAAAATTACGCTACATAAAAAGTTTTATGGTTCAATATTTATTTGAAATATTTTTTTTTAATGTTTAAAAACTGACAGCTATATCGTTGCTTACAATGACGGTGGCGCCACTGGCAGCGCATACAATGAAAAAGTTGCGCAAAGCAACGTTTCTGCTGCAGGCTACAGACCGAGGGTGTTTCATATTTATAAATTTAAGAGCAAAAGGATTGCACTATCTTATAAACGACGCTTAGTTTCTGTTATAATATTAATGAAGTTGTCCTAAAATGAATATCGTTCGGTTAAAAAGCATTTAGGTATAAATATAATTGCATTTTTGTGATTAGCCCTCGGTCTGTAACGTGCAGAATAAATGGGCAAATGCGCAACTTTTTCAGGGTGGCAGCACGATCGCGGGTGTCATGTCAGCGCCCAAAAATGAAGATTTTGAAATTCAATTTTGTTTTATGACAAACGTAAATGCGTAATTATAGAAATTTGTAGGTATATGCTATTATTTATGAATCTACTATCATATACTCCTAAATTCTAGAGGAAAGTATCCCTTCAACCTAAAATTATAAGTAAGGTTAAATACATTTTAATATGAAATCACGAGATTTGTATACATAGAATAATTCTTATCACTCATTACTGACAATCTTGTCTCTGAAGACCTGAATAAATCATGTTAAAGTTATATAACAAGTGCCTCTATCTAAACATGTATTAGCCACACCTCTGCCACACCCAAGTCTATGATCTTCAGGATCTCTGCTGTGCTTAGTAGCAGATTTCCGGGCTTGATGTCCTTGTGCACTATATTCTGTGAGTGCAGATACTCTAGCCCATCAATTAACTGCACAAAATACCTGCAATGAGACAGCAATAGTCAGAGAAGTCAGAAGTCAATATGAACACAAACCCGACATATTTTGAGAGTACATAAAGCTGCTACTGTGGTTGCTGCTGTTGCAACTACTCCTGTTTTATTGAGGTGATAGCAGAAGTAAGGTCCACTATAAGAAAATCCTGGTTTATTACCTGCATGTAACAAACTGGATCCAATTTTTAAAATGTTCAGCTCTGCCTGCCTCATTCTGCATATGACCTTCATCTGACTTTACTAACCTCTTGTGCAATCATTCAATGTTGTGTACGTTCTCCATCAAAATTATGGTCAACTTTAAACTGCATATATATACACTTGAACTAGCCGAGATTTGGCTGGTGGCTTTACACGCACCGTGGCACATGGTATGATGATAGCACTCCGAATTTCAAAATGATACACTTAAAGGGAGAGTTTACCCTAGGTTCTAGGGTTATTTTGAGCTAATTTAGGTTATAATTACGCTACATAAGAAGTTTCATGGTTCAATCACCATTAGAAATATTTTTTTTAAATGTTTT